TTCCTTACATAATAACTTTCATTCCAGATATTCTGAGGCTAAAAATAGAACACTCATGCAAAAACAGTAAAAATGCTCACTTTAACCTCGGAAATACCAGTGAGGATACCAACATACACTATGCGCTTGCTATTCAGTCAATGAAATCCATTCCTGTATCTATTTACAAGGGATTAATTACAAAATAATATTGAATTGGAACCAATTAGAATTATAAAAATTCAAAAATTAAGATCAATCCCAGATTGCTACACCACTTTGAATGTTAACCGTAAGCAAAATCCTGTCTTGCTGGTTTAATGCCAACTGAAGTTGGTTATGGTCAACTGGAGCATGAATAACAACAGGCTCTGACCACCTGCCCCTCCTAATTTAGTTTTGTACTATACATCTATACATGTCGATACAAAAAACATTACACTAAGCTTTGGAAGAAACACATTTCATGTTATTGTATTTTATATTGTTCTGGTCAGGTGTCTGACACATATGGAAACCCATCACTTAGCTTAAAAGCAGTAAAATCAAGAGTTTTGCATATGCATGCGACTTAACATACGTAAATTTCCTTGTGCCTGAAATATGCACTCCCTCCCTGGAAGAATGCACCTTGCTTACTCAGATTAGAGAGTATTGGGCACGATTGTAAGCTTGGGGATGCCAGAGTACGTAGCAGAGTACTTCTGGAGTTGTACTTGCTAAAACTGCATAGCTTGCCACTGACAGCACTGTCTGTCAAACTTCCCACTGCTCATTCAGCTAGGATCACCTTACCGATTGGAGCTTTGACTTGCAAAGTTTATAGGAGGGCTCAAGCGAGCTCCTGACAAGTTTTATATAGCTTTCAAAACCATTAATTTAGGTATCAGAAGATCTTGCCCCAGTCTTGAGAACAATTTATCAAATTTGCTGCTTCTGAACACAGAACCCGTAGTCTCCCCAACTGAAGTATAAAATGCAGATTAAACAAGATATCGAGCCCATTATGAGCCAAGTATACTCATTTGACATGTAAAACATTTCTGTACAAAAATAATTATAGGTCCCTTCATTCTAATTAACCAAGACCATATTAATTTTATAATTAAAACCAATCCTTTTTATTAATTACATAATGAAGGGAACCTGTCATTCCCTCTGTAAACTTGGAATACTACAACTGTGTTTACAAATGGTGCATAATAAAACCCAACCAAAAATATTTCATAACAGAGTAAGACTTCAGAGTAACACTCTGAAAATCAAAAGTCCAAATTTGGCATTCAGAACAAAGTTTTTCAAATTCCTTCCACTAAATTAGGTGGAACATGTTTTCTAGTGTGCAACACAAAACATAAATAAAATCAGCATTACATTATGATGACTAATTGAGTTTAAAATTTCTTAATTGCATTTCGGAGTCCTGTAGCATAGTGATTAGAGCGCTTGCTTTGCAAGCAAGAGAACCCGAGCAGGGCGAAACCTTAGGCAAGTTCATTTACACCTCACAGCTTTGTTTACCCAGCAGTAAGTAGGAATCCGCTTGTTGGTCGATTGGCGGATCGCTTCCCAGAGGTAATAATCCCTCCAAAAAATAATAATATGGTCACTCAATCCACGACTGCTTGTGGACCCACAAATATAGTCAACACTTTACAGTATATAGACGTCTAAATTAAGTGCTAAGGCATTATATCAAATGCAAGAATTATTATTTATCACATTCCCTATGACTGTACTAGTAGTACTTTCCTCAAATTGATTACATTAGAATGGAGCAGTGAACAAGTGCACATACACACATTATTACATGAACTATCTAGGATGCACACAAGCCATTCATTCTGGCTATAGCAACTGGAGCTAATCTGAACATTTATTGGATCATGCTTAATTCAGACTAAGACAAACACAAAAAGGAATTACATTATCCAGATTAATTATATAACTCGTCTGGTTTATTTATTGCTTGAATGAATTAATATCACGGAAGAAAAATGTTTACATTGTATTTACATCACTTGTCCAAGTCCTTTATACAATAGGTGAACGCACAAATATGGAAGCAAAAGCAGTGCCAATATTAGTACCAGAAAACCCATTCTCATTTTGCTTGCCCTTATACGAAATACCACAATATCACAGGCCTGGAACCAACATTTCAGTAACAAGTAAGAAGTTTTTAAAAAGACTATACACTGTACTATCCGCAAGCTGTAATTACAGAATTTAAGCTTGTAATTTTAATATTCACAACTAGATCTAAATTTTTCAATGTTTGAATATTTGTTTTGTGATTTGTACTAAGCAATACAAATTGTCAAGAAAAATGTTCTGAACTTTAAAGTATTCTTGCTTTACAAGGTCATTTTAAAAAGCAGCACTCAATACCAACAGATTACTGTAGTTCGGAGTGCAGTTCACCAAACCATAAACAAGTTGACCCTGTTATAAGGCAGCTCCGAAGAACTCAAGTTTGCTTCCAACCCAGATCTCCTGTGGCCCTGCAACTATCAGTCGTGCAGTACATTTTCAGCTTCCAGAAGCTAGAAGTAACACCAGCATTAACCCAATGACTCAGAAGTGGGACTAGCGGCCAATGTTTTCGTGGACGTATTATATTGCTGTGTCAAATATTATCGATCGATCTTGTAAAGTCACTTATCACTGCACAACATGAAAATGAGTCACATAAAACTGAACAATTCAACAGATATTAAATACAAAACATCCCAGTATAATACCTTTGGAACCCCTTCTTCTATACATTTTTAAACCTTGCCTAAAAATTTACCTAAGACTACAGTAATAATTTTACTAAGTAGAATACAAAAAAGAATATTTAGAGAGAGACCGGCCCATTGGGACCAGCCCCAATGTTGTGGATATAAAATGTTCAAGACATTGGATCATCAAGTGAAATACAAACATACAGCTCTAACCAAACAAGTCTTCCAACAGGAGTTACACCGGGCTTGTAGAAACACACAATGACATGGTTTCTCTCCATCTCAGTCTGCAACTGTATGTGTGGGTGCACTCAGTAGCCCTAGTGCAGAGGTGGACACAGTTACCTGTGAGCAGATATGCTGCACTCGCCTGTATTTTACATAATAATAATAATCCTCGCATTTGATATATCACCTTATCATATTCTTGAGATGTCTCAAAGCACTTCACAGAAGTTATTGCGTGTAGAATTATTGTGTAAAGTGGATTGACTGTATTTTGTGGGTGAAATGCGGCAGCCAATTGTGCCACAGCAGTGTCCCACAAACAGTCGTGGATTGAGTGACCAATTTTGGGGGGGGGATTTTTACTCTGGAAATATGTTAGCCAATTGACCAGGTTCCTACTTGCTACTCAGTAAACACAGGCTAGGAAAATATGATGTTATCATATCAAAATAACTAAAAGCATTTTATACTGTACATTTTTTGAAGCATCTTGCAGGCTGTGTAGAAAATCACAGTACCAACAATCCATAAATGGCAAAAGCACGGTCTACTTTGGCAATATTGCCAAATTGATCAATTGATAATATCAATCAATGGTCAGAAAACGCTTGTCAAAGAATGAAGAAGAGTGTTAGTTGTGTTACTTGGCTGATTTGGGGAAACTTAAGAGTGGAGGGTGTCACTCAGGTTCAAATATGGAATAGCTTTGATGCCATCTCCACAGATATTTCCATTAGCCAAATTGTCCCAACTACTGAAATGGTAGATTTAATACATTTAATCCGCATTCCTACACTTTAAGTCTTGTCAACTTTGAGATGTCTGAACAACATAAGGTGCTGATATCAAGTGCAAGAAATATTAAATTCAAAGTGAATATTTCATACTTGCAACTCATTGTATGAAAATAAATAAGTCATTTAAAATAACACTTTTTTTAAACAACAAGGTACTTTATATCAAACTTAAATTTCATCACCTTCATGAAACTTTATGATTAATCAATTTTCATTTCTTGGGGGTCTGACACATCTGAAAAACCATCATCATGCTCAAGAGTAGCCAAACCAAATAGATAATTCCATGCATTCCACCTGCACATGGAAATTCCAGAGGGAGATTGTTGGAATCCGCACTCTCTTCCTGGAGGGATGCATCCTGCCTACCTAATTCCGGAAAGTATTCGGTGCAGGTTGGGAGTGCAGGCTTGGTGCCCCAGACTGTGCATTGGGGTACTGCTGGAGCCTGACCAGCTAAAACTGCATAGCTTGCCAAATCACTGTCCGCCAAGCTCTCCTGCTGCTTGTCTAGCTAGGACCATCCTACCCGTTGGGGCTTTGGCTTGCAGGGTTAACAAGAGCTCAGTAAGATGACTCCCTGGGCCCAGTGAGTGGTGTGCCCTTCCACGTCCTGCCGATGAGGCCTGGATGGCTGTACTGTTATCAGCAGTACCCTGGAATACTGCGGACCCACCCGGCTCAGGAACCGGACTACCGAGACCACCAGAGGGCTGGTTTGATTCCAACATCCCATTGCCAAGCAAGTCATCTTGAAGCCAGTTCCGCTCCATGGAGATCCTGCTTACCTCACCCCACCCAGGATAAATGTTCAACACATTTCAATGTTTACCAACATTGATTACACAATATAAACAATGGGAACTGTGGGGACAATGTAAAATTTGCACCTGGGCTACAATTGCTTACTTATTGACAATGGCTGTAATCGACAATGTGTAAACAGCACTTTTTTAATAATAAAAAAATGTATCGACTGGTGATCAGCTTGATGTAAGCAAAACCTTCACTGTAAACAAAACCGTGGGAAAAGTTAGCATCGAAAATTTTTGCACACCCGCCCCCCACCAAAAAAAAATATATAATGTAAAGCAACAGTTAGTTACGCTTCACTGTGGCAAAGGCCCTTTATCGGCGCACACGATCTAAACTGCACCGACATCACAATCCGCTCACACAAACCACCAGACGCGCTCACCCCCCCCACACACACACACATAACCGTGTTAAGTTTTGAAGAGGAAAAGAAAATCTCAGCGACACTCACCAGCTTGGGTTTATTTTTCAGATCGTCCTCGTTGGTTTTCTTCCTGGCGGCAGACTTGTCAGCTCTATCCCTGCAGCGGGGCGGCGAGTCATTTCCTGCCGCCGGCTGTGGAGGCGCCGGCGGCTGATGGTGGAGATGGTGCTGCTGTTGCTCTTCCATGTTTTACCCACCACCCCCACCAACCCCCTTCCCACTCCTCCTCCTCCTCCTCTCTTCCTCGGTTTCAGGCAACGGGATGATGAGACAACATAGAGAGAGAAAGAAAGAGAGGGCGAACGAGGCACAGAGCCAATCTCCCCCCAGTCCGGCACCCAAGGCGAGGTCTTCGTCGTTATTTATCCGCGTCGTTCTCTCAGCTCAGCGGAAACCATAGCACCCGAGACTCCCTTCCCATTTCACGGCCCCCTAAAAAAAAGGAGAGAGACAGCTTTGCTTCTCTTCTTCTTACTTTTATTTTCCTTTTGTTTCACCTCCCCCTCTCCTCTCCTGTTCTCCTCCTCCTCCTCCTCCCTCTCCGGGCAGAAGGAAGAGATGAGCTAAGAGACTACACACACACACAAATAATAAAAGGTCGGCCTCGCCCAGTCTCCACCCTCGGGGAAGTGAGAACGCACCTGAATTAAAGAGAAAAAGAAAAACCGCCCCTTTCCGTTACACTGGGGGGTGGGGTTGGGGTGGAGAGGAGAGGAGACGAATGAAGAGCCGCAACGATAATACCCTTACAATCCCGTCTGTCTGTCTGTCTGTCTGGTCTGACTCACTCACTCACTCACACACACACACACAGACACGAGGATGAGGCATAAGATATAAAAAGACGAGGGCCGCTTTGCGAGTGATTTTGTCGGTCACCTCAACGAACTCTCGTCGTCGTCGTGGTCGTCCTTGTTGTTGTTGTTGTTGTCGCCGCCGCCGCTCGCGCGACGCAGACACCGACCGTTGGACGAGCTCACGCGCCGCCCACTTCAAACTGCCACCGGCGACCTCAGTCCGCCCACCCGCCCGCCCACGTGACAGCTTCGCCAGGCCTTCAAAAACCCGTTTGTAGCCCAAAGTCCCCCGCCCCGCCCCCGCCCCGCCCAAAAACACAACCAAAAAAAAAAGTAGCCCAATACGACGCGTGGTATCGCCCTCTGGTTCGCAGCAAAGTAGCCCAATTTACTTACGTTTCGGGGGGTGGTGGGGGGGGGGTGGGGGAAACACGCCGCGTCTTCAAAACGGGGGAGGGGGGGGAGCGTTTTTTTTTAAGTCACCGGTCCCCGGCTAAAGCTGTGCTTTTTCATGCCCGCCCGCAGCGACAAGGACCCGCCCAATTGGGCGTGAACCCGCCCTTTCTGGCAGCGTCGTCCTTGCCGCTCCTCCCCCACGTGATTCCACTCCCCCCCCCCTCCCACTCCCCCCACTCCCCTCTCTCTCTCTCTCTCTCTCATTCAGTCTTTGCTCCTTTCACCACCGCAACAGATGTGGCCGTCTCCCCGCCCCCCACACCCCACCCCTCCCTCCCTCCCGCCCGCCCGCCTCTTGGTTAAGTCATTCGACCAGGAGGGCCGTGTCAATCACTCACGACCCTTAATAATAATAATAATACTCCTCGCATTTGATACAGCGCTTTTCACGTCGAGAGGACGTCCCAAAGCGCTTCACAGAACAGACTGTAAAGTGAATTGACTGTATATTTGTGGGCGAACGCGGCAGCCAATTGCGCACAGCAAGTGTCCCACAAACGGTCGTGGATTGAAAATGACCAATTTATTATTGTTTTATTTTGGAGGGATTATTATTACCCAAACTGTCACATGTATCAATGCTGTTGGGCTCTGTATGAAGCAGAGACTGGATGCTGGTATTTGGGAAGAAAGGAAATCAAATAGCCAATGAGCCACGATGAAGGAATAGATGGATGGAAATATCCTTTTTTTTGGTCAGCCGGGTGCCCGACACGTGCCAAAACCCATCACCATTCTTAAGAGTATCCCAACCGAACTGAGAATTCCACGCAGCCCCCCCCCCACACATGGAAATCCCAGAGATAGATTATCGGAATGAAATGCGCACTCTCTCCCTGGAGGGATGCATCCTGTGAACCTAATTCCAGAAAGTTCTAGGTGCAGGTTGGCAAGAGCCAAGGCTTGGGGACCACAGAGTGTGCGTTGGGGGTAACTGCTGGAGTCTAACCCGCTAAAACTGCACAGCTTGCTATTGATAATAATAATAATAATAATAATAATAATAATAATCCTTGCATTTGATATAGCGCTTTTCACGTCGGGAGGACGTCCCAAAGCGCTTCACAGAACACACTGTAAAGTGAATTGACTGTATATTTGTGGGCGAACGCGGCAGCCAATTGCGCACAGCAATGTCCCACAAACAGTCGTAGATTGAAAATGACCAATTTAATTATTGTTTTTAGTTTTGGAGGGATTATTATTAGGCGTGTGGAGTAAGGAAACTTGCCCAAGGTATCACCATCTGGCAAGCTTTCCCACTGCTCGTCCAGCTTGGGACCACCCCTTCAGGACAGTTTGGTGAAGAAATATCTTCAGCCACCCGAGGGCTTTGGAGTGCCCAGCCTGGAGCGCTCTTATGAATATTATGAGAATGAAATGCTGGATTTTTTTTACCTCGTCAATGGCTCCCGTCCTGGATCCTGATGGCGAGGCTGATAGGATGGGCGCGGCTGAGAGAGGGGGTTGGGGTTGGGGGGGGGGGCGAGACCGAGAGGGCGGGGCGGGGGGGGCGTGCGATGAGACCGAGAGGGCGGGGCGGGGGGGGTGCGATGAGACCAAGAGGGCGGGGCGGGGGGGTGGGGTGCGATGAGACCGAGAGGGCGGGGCGGGGGGGTGCGATGAGACCGAGAGAGGCAGGACGGTGAGAAAAGCGGAGAGGCCAAGAGAGCGGGGAGGGGGGCCGGGGCTGAGAGATGGGGAGGGGGCGAGAGGGAGAGGGGGAGAGGGCGAGAGGGAGATGGGGGGGGGCGAGAGGGAGATGGGGAGGGCCGAGGCTAAGAGAGGGGGAGAGGGCGAGAGGGAGATGGGGGAGGGCCGAGGCTAAGAGAGGGGGAGAGGGAGATGGGGGAGGCTGGCGAGACCGAGAGGGCGGGGTGGGGGGGTGCAATGAGACTGAGAGAGGTAGGACGGCGAGAAAAGCGGAGAGGCCAAGAGAGCGGGGAGGGCCGAGGCTGGGGGGGTGGGTGGGGCGACACTGCGGAGGGAGTATGAGAGGGGTTGTGAGAGTGAGAGGGGGGAGCGCGAGAATGGGGGAAGAGTAGTGAGGGGTTGAGCATGAGGTGGGGTTGAGTGAAGGGGGGGTGGGGGTGGACCTGAGGGGGTTCAGCATCAGGCTCCGCCACTGTTAAGCGTTCTGAGTCACTATCCCGCGTGAAGGGCGCTATATAAATGCAAGTTGTTATTATTGCACATGACATCCCTATTACTTCTGAAGTGATACAGATAGACACAGCACATTACCGTTAATCGCCTGCAGTGCTTTGAGACATCCTGCTGACTCGAAAGGTGCTAATATCAAACGGCAAGGATTAGTTTTATTATAGTAAGTGCTTTGAGACTTTGGCCATTGTCGGTGTTATATAATAACAATCTTTGCATTTGATACGTTGCCGTTCTGTTACTCATCCCTATTTATCACTACCTGACGCCTTCTATATCAGGGAATCCATAATCACAGGCAGAATGATCATCGCTGGGCAAATCCGAGGTATGAAATTTCACTTTGCAATTTCACTTTGCAATTTAGTTTCAATATCTCAGAGGTCACCAAGCAGGGCTAAAGTGGCAAGCAGTCCCCATCATTGGCTGCAGAAGATCGTCTGTCAGTACCATATTCCAACTTTGCTAACTGTTATTGTTGGTTCATCTATTCCTCGTGAAACTAAACCAAATGTAGCCGTCCCCAGCGCAACCAGAAGCCAACACATTCCACATTCTGCGAGTACAATCCAAGACTGACAAAAAAAAAGATATTTGACTCCTCATTCATAGCAAAGCATTAGAAATACAGTAGATTGCTGCTCATATATAACCTGGTTTAACCGTACATTTCTTATTCAAATCAGTACTCAAATGGAAGATGTGTCAAGCCATGGTTTGGGAGAAAATTTTCAAATTGCGTGCGTTGCAACACGGTTCGGGATTTTACTTGAGCAACAAGTGATGGAGAAATTGATCCAGGTCAGTAAATGGAGAGAGAGACACACACAGATGTGTATATTAGAGAAACACATTCAGAGAGGCGTGCACATGTACGCAAACACATAGACCTGAGTTCCATGCAGTTTTAAAATACATATTGTCCTAAATAGTGCAGATAGCAGGTTCTCTACTATGGTCAACATCATAAAGGGAAGTGGGATGATAACTGAACAGAACTCAAGCAACGTTTTAACAACCCAAAAGGTGGGGAGATTCAAAATCTTCAGATGCTGGAGAACCATAGATTTAAATGGAAGACAGTGTGATGCAACCCTAACGTTCTGAATGGGGGAATGTTACAACGCTTGAGCACGCACTGCATTGTAACTGGAGGGATTATGAATTGGCACCTTCGGACAAAATCGCAAAAAACGATAAATTCAATGATTATAATCAAATTATAAAGAAGTCAGTCAAGCTATTGTTTCGCGCCACTGATTTTTTTACAATTTCTACCCCACATAGTAAAAATTCAATTGCCCCTGCAGAAATTACTTGATAAGCCCCGTCTCCAAAGTGTTTTGAATGCTATTATTAAATGCAAGGATTATTACTAGATTACTTCACCACTGAAGTAAAGCCAATTATGTTCAAAATTTTCAAGCCCATTAGTTTTGAAGAAATGCATAGTAAATATAACGATATAGGGAAAAAATACAGTGCCATATTGACACGTCTGGTATACCTAAAACGGTCCTCGTGTTCCAGTTCTCATTGACAGGCCCCTGGAGCTTTGAGGAAGTGAACTAATGGATCAGGAAGTTAAAAAATTCTGAGCAAACCCAACCAACAAGGGAAGGTCAGATGTGAGATCACCTCCCAAAGACAGTTGAAGAGCAGCATTTCATAATGTGGAGGAAAGGAAGTGAAAAAAATAGAAAAATGGTCCAAAAGTGCTTACAGCAAACAGGAACGCAATGCAAAGAGCGATGGAAGATGACAACGGAACAGAAGCTAAAGATTCTAAAAGGAAAACAGAAGCTTATTTAAAGCATTCACTTATTTTGCCTTGGCAAAATTACAGGAACGCACTCGTTTAGGCTCATTTATGAAAAAGAGTCATTTGGGTGAGGTGAGAGGAGTGTCTCATTCTCAAAACCATATCATTATCAGAGCTGACTGCCTCGAGGAGAGGCAGGGAGTGAACCTTTTAAACATACAAAGGACTTTGGTTGAAGCTTCCAAACCTCATTTCACAAACAACAGAATGCTTTATAGCCAGATGAGGTTTGTATCCCAGCAATTTAAAATGGATTTGAACTTGTGTCCCAAAGGTGAAAGGCCAGTGTGCTGATGTGCATTATTACCCAGTCTTCCCTTTTAATTTGTATTGGTTTTGATAATCAATATTCTGCTCATTTACTTTTTTTAATCGTCATTCCCCTCCC